TGCCACGTGTTTTCAGTGCGTAGGGGATGTCGCCAAAGGACTACTCCAAACAGCCTGAAGGGCTCTTTGTACTCCACATCTTCTTCCGGAAATTTGAAGGATTTCCTCCTATTCCTGTCGGAAAGGGAAAGAAACTAAGCTTTCAATTTTTTATTTATTTATACATTTTTATTAATTTTTAACATATTAATTAACATTCATACAACAGCACTTCTCATCTTATACAATTTATTTGGGACTTCCGTCAACACCTCTGATGATTTTCCGTACTTATCACTTATTATGCATTTCTTAATTTCATATTACCATTAGATATCTTTAACTAAAAATTCTTCTCATTACCTTTTTTTTGCAATATTTCTAATAATTCACCTTACAAAACTTCTTGCAAACCTACTAGCGTAATCTGTTCATCACACGATTACTTTTCAAATAGTCCGTAAATTTACTCCAGTCCTCTGAGAATTTCTGGTCCCACAGGTTTCAAATCCTTCCTGTTAGTTTATCTAATTCTGCATAGTCCATCAGTTTCATCCTCCATTCTTTTTCATCGGTAATTCTTCTTGCTTTCAGTTTTGTTCCAATAGTATTCTTGCTGCCGTCATTGCATATAAAAACAATTTACAATCCTTTCTATTTATATCATCTCCTACAATGCCAAGTAAAAATGCTTCTGGTTTCTTAATATACATTTATTAAGAAACCAGAAGCAATTTTACTTGGCATTGTAGGAGATGATATAAATAGAATATACATTTCAACATTTTTTTCATCTCATTATAAATAATTTTCCAGAAGTTTTTCACTTTTTAACATTTCCACCACATGTGATAAAACGTTCCTTCTTTTTCTTTACATTTCCAACATTTATTACCTAAGCTTTCAACTTTCATTCTAGTGCTTCTGATCTTGTGAACAGAATTTTATTGAATCAGGGCACAATCCTGTGCTCAGATCTGCTGGGCTGAGCAGCTGAGGCTCCAGCGGATCTCTGGCTCAGCCAGTTGGTTCCCGGCTCAGCCAGGCATAAGCCTCCCATCCCATCTTAGTCGGGGCTCATGCCAGCATAGGCCCTGAAGAAACAGGGCAATCCGAGGGAGTGGTGCTGGGGGACTTACCGTATTTTTCGCCCTATAGGACGCACTTTCCCCCCTCCAAAAATGAAGGGGAAATGTGTGTTCGTCCTATGGGGCGAATGCAGCCTTTCGCTGAAGCCTGGAGAGCGAGAGGCGTCGGTGCGCACCAACCCCTCTCGCTCTTCAGGCTTCAGGAAGCTATCTGCAAGTGTTTGCGCGCCCGGCGGGAGTTCCCGTGGGCTCGCAAGGCTTGCGGGCAGCAGCCTGCAGCCCAAAGGAAGGGGCTCCCTCCAGAGGGCGCCCCATGCTTCACGCAGATGTCCGCAAGCGTTGCGAGTCCGGCGGGAGTTCCTGCCGGGCTCGCAAGGCTTGCAGATAGCAGCCTGTTCTGGGGGCTGGGGTCGGGGGAAGCTCGGGCAAAAAAAGGTGATAAAACTTATGCCGCACAGTGGAAATCCATGGGAAAGGGGGGCAATCCTCAGAAATCAGAACCAGGATTACCTGGCAGTTCCCTTACCACAGGAATTCAATACGACTCCCCGTCAGTCGTGTGGCAGCAGCCTGCAAAATAGCGGGAGCTGGTGCTTGCAGGTCTTTGCTACTTTGCAGGTGGCTTTCTAATCACATACAGTGGTACCTCGGGTTAAAGTACTTAATTCGTTCCGGAGGTCCGTTCTTAACCTGAAACTGTTCTTAACCTGAAGCACCACTTTAGCTAATGGGGCCTCCTGCTGCCGTTGTGCTGCCAGAGCACGATTTCTGACCTCATCCTGAAGCAAAGTTCTTAACCCGAGGTACTATTTCTGGGTTAGCAGAGTCTGTAACCTGAAGTGTATGTAACCTGAGGTACCACTGTACTGGTAAATTCAGGTTGCAAAATTACAGCTGAACCCGCTTCCCGCTTTGATGCAACATCATCTAACCTTCAAATGAATGCTCTTTAAATTGGCAATGAATCGGGATGAATGTTCAATAAAGTGCCTTGTCTGGAGACACCCAAGCTGTGTACAGTGGTACCTTGGGTTACATACGCTTCAGGTTACATACGCTTCAGGTTACAGACTCCGCTAACCAGAAATAGTGCTTCAGGTTAAGAACTTTGCTTCAGGACGCGAACAGAAATCAGGGTCCAGCGGCGCGGCAGCAGCAGGAGACCCCATTAGCTAAAGTGGTGCTTCAGGTTAAAAACAGACCTCTGGAACATTTAAAGCACACACACAACCACAAATAATCCTGGGAACTGAGGTTTAACACCCCCCCCAAAGAATTACATTTCTCAGTACCCTTAACAAACTACTATTCCAAGGTTTCAGGGATGGGGGTGGAAAAAATGTGCTTTAGATGTATGGTTTGAATGCAGCTAGGGATCTTGAAGTCTGTGGTTATACCCTTGCCATGAACTGCTTTTAAATTTCTCCTCCTCACTCTTGATCTAGGAAGGTATGGGGTCTCCCACCCCCTTAGTGCAACAAAAAGCCCCCCTCCCCGGGTGTGTATCTATATTTTCCCCCTTATGTTTCCTTGCTAGGAGCCATTGCAGTCATTCCAGCTGCGTTTTCTCTCGCCTTGCTAAGTTTTTAACACCAAAACGCCTTTCAGAAATCCGCCAGAGGGGAAGCGCCTGAGTTGAGGGTGGGGTCCGAATTTCTTTTCTTTCTCCTCCTCCCCACCCGCAAAACAGGGTAGGGCACTCCCACCCCTACCCAAGCCTTTAAAAATAATAATATTAATTTTTTTGAAAAATTACCTGCACTTGAGATCTGCTGCAAAGACTTCTTAAGGCAGCATCACATTATCTCAAGAGCCGAAGGTACAAAAATTCAAAAGGTAGATGATCCCGGGCATAGAGTAGGGGGTGGGTGAAGGAAGGAGAACAGGAAGGGACTTTGCACTATTTACAGTCCCCCTTTTCAGTCCTCTCTGGCAACCAGAGCTTCTTATTGGTTTTAACTCCTTCCAGGGAAGGTGGCTAGGCGTAGATTCTTAAAAAAAGAGAGGAATTCCCTGAATTTTCCCTTGTTTTCATATGCTTTTACACCATTTGTGTTGTGTTATCAATGCTGTGGTTTATTGATTTTATATTGTGCACCGTTTAAGAGATTAAAAAAAAAAAACAGAATAAGAAATTCAGTGGTTTATAAATGCTTTCACATAGGTTTAAAGCTGGCTGGCACTTTTTGGCCGCCAGCCAGCTTTAAACCTATGTGAAAGCATTTATAAACCACTGAATTTCTTATTCTGGTTTTTTTTTGACACCAAATGGTGTCAAAGAAGGACAGAACTTTCTTTATGTACGCAACAACAGCAGCAAGAATTCTCATCGCAAAACACTGGAAGACACAAGATTTGCCCACTCTGGAAGAATGGCAGATGCAAGTGATAGACTACATGGAATTGGCAGAAATGACTGGCAGAATCCGAGACCTGGGAGAAGAATTAGTGGAAGAGGACTGGAAGAAATTTAAAGACTACTTGCAAAAACATTGCAAAATGTTTGAATGTTAAAATGATGCAGGATATAAAGATAATATGGCACTAGTGACAAAACTGAAAGGAATACGTAAAAAATATTTTATAAGAATAAGGGTGAAAAAGCTAGAATAACATTATGTCAGATTTAAACAAAATGATATAAAGGGAAAATTGGAGACATAATAGTTGAAATGTATAACATAGAATAAGATTTGAAAGAGGGTAAGGTATTGCTGAATACGATTGTGTAAAAGGGAACACAGAAAAGGGAGATGTGAGGAAGCCAGGAAGGAGGGTTATGAAAATAATAAGTAAGAAACTGGATTTTTATGTTTTTTTATGTCTTTTTTCCTCTACTTTTTTATGTCTGGTATTGTATTTTTCTGTTTTTATTTGATTGTGATAATGTTTTTTCTTTCTTTTTCTTGTTTTGATTGTGAAGTTTGTTTTACTGTTCAAAATTTCAATAAATATCTTTTTTTAAAAAAAAAATTAAGCTGGCTAGCACTTGAGCCCTGCAGTTCTCCTCATTGCTTTCACAGGGGTTGTCTTGAGAAAACCTCACCAGCTTCACCAAAGGAAATCCAGGTTAGTCAGGGCTCCTTTGTCTGCTGCACCTACATAGCTTTGGCCTGGGATCCTTTCAGCTGTCATTTCTGAAGATTAAACCAGATTAAATCTTGTGCAACAAATGCTGGATGCTGCCTTGAACCCCATAAGGCCGCTGCTCTTCCTAGCTCAGTACAGTGGTACCTCAGGTTACCTCAGGTTACATACGCTTCAGGTTATTTTTATTTTTATTTAAATAATGTTTATTCAAAATTTCATTAATACATATAATAACCCCAACCCTAGCCCAAAAAGTAAAAAATAAAATATAAAATAAAGAGAAAAAGTACATATCTCCAATTACGGTTTTTCATTTGCTTAGTTCTTAAACCTCCTCACACCTCCCTTTTTTGTATTCTAGTTTAGTTCATTATTTCAGCAAATTCTTCCCACAATTTTCAATTTTAATTTAAATAGTTTATCATCACACTCTATCTTATTTATTAAACAACATACCTTTTCCTTCTTTTAAATTAATCTATTATTCAATTTACCTTACTCCATTTAACCCTGTCTTATATTAAAAATCTTAAAATTTCAAAAACACAACATATCCATACATTTTCCCTTGAAAGCATTTCTACTAAAGCCAATATAGTTCCTTTCCAGCAAATCCCTCAAATTTCAATAATATTATTAACATTTATTTACAGTGGTACCTCGGGTTACATACACTTCAGGTTACAGACTCCGCTAACCCAGAAATAGTACCTCAGGTTAAGAACTTTGCTTCAGGATGAGAACAGAAATCATGCAGCAGCGGCGTGGCAACAGCAGAAGGCCCCATTAGCTAAAGTGGTGCTTCAGGTTAAGAACGGTTTCAGGCTAAGAACGGACCTCCAGAACGAATTAAGTTCTTAACCCGAGGTACCACTGTATTATCGCCTCCCTCTGGCTTCTCCAGGGTGGCACCCATGGGTTGTCGTGGCACCCACAGTGTGCCACCGATGCGCTTGCCAGACACTCCCCTATGTGATGCCACAATCCGTGAATGAAGCTGTTAAATAATCCCTGAATAATGATTAAGATATTTTTAAAAAAACCAACACATTTATTCATCCAACTCAGTCAGTATAAATATATCCTGCAGTTGTGCAACTTGTTCAAGAGGACTGATTGTACCACTGTGTAAGGAAAAGGACAAAACAGGCCTCTGTTATGGGGTGACTCATGCAAATTTTTCATCCCTGCGTGTTTATGTTATTTAAATTCTGAATTAATACAGTACTGTACATATAGGTTCAGATCCATAATAGATGTCTTTACAGAGGAGCGTACCTTTCAGAGGCTGGAGACTGGAAACAGAGAGGATTATGGGAAAGTGAAGGCAGCCATCTTGCGCAGAGACGCCTTGAGGAGGGAAATGCAGCACCAGCATTTCAGGGGCTTCTGCTACCAGGAGGCCGAGGGGCCCCGAGGGGCCTACACCCGGCTGCAGGAGCTTTGCTCCCAGTGGCTGAACATGGAGCGGCACACCAAGGAGCAGATCCTGGAGCTGCTGATCCTGGAGCAGTTCCTGAACGTCCTTCCGCCAGAGATCCAGAGCTGGGTGAGGGAGTGCAGCCCAGAGACCTGCTCCCAGGCAGTGACTCTGGCCGAGGGGTTCCTTCGGGTGCAGCAGGAGACCCAGAGGCAAGGGAAAGAGGTGAGGTTGTCGGTCAGTATGTGTGAAACTCCCATCTGCATTATATATTTAAAGCATCCTTATCCCACTTCAAACAGTCATGGCTTTCCCCCAAGGAATCCTGGGAGCTGTAGTTTGTTAAAGGTGCTGAGAGTAGTTAAGAAACAGCCTTTATCCCCTTCGCAGAGCTACAATTCCCAGAGTTCCCTGGAAAGAGGGTTTGATTATTAATCCTCTCTGAGAGTTGTAGCTTTAGGAGGGGAAAAGTTTAAAGTGGCGTAAAGGTAAAGGGACCCCTGACAATTAGGTCCAGTTGTGGCCGACTCTGGGGTTGCAGCGCTCATCTGGCTTTACTGGCCAAGGGAGCCGGCGTACAGCTTCCGGGTCACGTGGCCAGCATGACTAAGCCACTTCTGGCAAACCAGAGCAGCGCACGGAAACACTGTTTACCTTCCCGCCGGTGCAGTACCTATTTATCTACTTGCACTTTGAGGTGCTTTCGAAGTGCTAGGTTGGCAGGAGCAGGGACCGAGCAATGGGAGCTCACCCCATCGCGGGGATTTGAACTGCCGACCTTCTGATCGGCAAGCCCTAGGTTCTGTGGTTTAACCCACAGCGCCACCCGCGTCCCTTTAAAGTGGCATAAGAGGGCTTTAAAAGGAAAGTGCGGATTTGATCCGAAATTGTTTTTATTTGGTTTTGCAAATATAAATTTATAACAAATGCACATCCTTATATAGAGATTTCTCTGAATCTCAAGACTTCCCACCATCCCTTCCATGGGTCTTATTGTCAACATTTTCAATTGCATATTATTCCATAATCTAATTTTTGTATCTGTCCATATTGTCCAAAGTGTTTGTTATGTTACAAGTGATATTAAAATCCTGCTAATGTTTTCATCTGCTTACAGTGGTCTCCTAAATAAATTATATTCCCCCCCCATTATTTCTTGAAGTTTTTGTCTTCTTGGTTCCTGAGCTTTCCGGTGAGTTTTGCCATTTCAGCATAGTCCAAAGTGCGGATTTGATCCAATACAGATGCTGACTGGGATAAGATGGGTCTGTGTGGTACCTGCAGGGTTGACTTGGGGTATGTCTGCTTCCACAGACTCAGGAGTCTACTTCTCAGTAGACTGGTGTAGGATCATAATGTTGCCGCTAGAGCTCAACCCTCCTAAGGCCTGTCCCTGCCATCTCAAAAGCGACTCCATGTTGCTATTTCAGGTGTCAGCACCATTTCAGGACCAGACAGCAGTGAACTTCTCCACGGCGGATTGGCAGGCCGCATCAGACACTGACCAGAGGCTGCTGGCCACAGAGATCAAGCAGAAAAGAGATGAAGAACAAGCCGGTTTGCTGGGTAAGTCTTCTGTCTGGATTCTACATTTCCTAACAAACTCTCTTTTAAAAGGTAAAGGGACCCCTGACCATTAGGTCGTGGTTGACTCTGGGGTTGCGGCGCTCATCTCGCTTTATGGGCTGAGGGAGCCAGCGTACAGCTTCCGGGTCATGTGGCCGGCATGATTTAGCCGCTTCTGGCGAACCAGAGCAGTGCATGGAAACGCTGTTTACCTTCCCGCCAGAGCGGTACCTATTTATCTACTTGCACTTTGACGTGCTTTCAAACTGCTAGGTTGGCAGGAGCAGGGACCGAGCAACGGGAGCTCACCCCGTCACGGGGATTCGAACCGCCGACCTTCTGATCGGCAAGTCCTAGGCTCTGTGGTTTAACCCACAGCGCCACCAACTCTCTGTACCTCAGGTCTAATCCTCCTCAGCAGTAGGCCTGGACGATGTATCGATACATCGCCCAGGCCCGGCAGAAGGGGCAGACCGCAATGGCGGCTTCACTCAGCAATATATCGCAGATGAAATCATAGCCGCTCTTGACACCCTCCAGCTTAGGAGTGGTGTTTCACCAGCGATATATCACTGAGTGAATCCACCATCCCACTCTGCAAGCTGACGGCGAGCCGGGGACTCCGTTAAAGTGCTCCCGCCCCCTAGCTGAGGGAGCCCTGATGCTTCTCCGGCTTGCTTGCAGCGCTGGGGTGAAACTGTCTCAGTGATTTCACCCTGGCGCCTCGCAGCACTGTGGTAGGAAGCAGGGTTTTGAACATTGCTATGTATCTGTTCAGGGAATTCAGGGGCAGTGAAACTGGTGAAATTCGCCCGACTTCCTATCTCTCCCACTGAAGGAATTTCTGCCTGCAGGTGAGAGCAAGAGGCCTGATGGCTCTGGTCTGTTACAGCAGAGCTGAGGGAGTGAGCTCTGCTTCTCAGCTTGCCGGCTGCTGGGAGGGCAGGTGAGTATTGGAGTCACAGATTCTCTGATTCAACAAGCAGGCAAAAGGAGATTTCCAGAGCTCAGACTGTTCTGTGGTGTTCTCTGTCCCTTTGAGAGATTTCTTACAAGGGCTTTTAACGGGTGGAAGGGGAGTATTCATTTCCTCTCTTTTTAGCTTTGTGTTTTTCTAGACCGGAAAATTAGTTGGTTTTGGGGGGATGTTCTCGTATCTCCAGCAGGTGAAGGATGGACGAGTGTTGACATCGAAGGGAATCGCTCCCTTCAAGATCCTTATGAGAGCTCCTCAATGAGAGGATGAGAAGAAAGGACGATGTTTCCTGGAGTTCCGAGTGCGAAATGCTCTGTAGGGTCAGCACAGACTGGAGCATCCACAGCAAAGCCGCTCAGAGGAGAGAGAGGATGGATCCGTTTCTGGGGCAGGTGGTGACAAGCACCTAAGGAAAACTGCTGCCCGCCAGAGAACCCACCCTGTTAAGAGACAAAGGACACACAGCACCAGCGTACCCTCCAACATTTCTCTGACAAAAAGAGGGACATCCCAGGGAAAAGCGGAACATTCTGGGATCAAATCCAAAACTGGGACGTCTTCTGTAAATCCAGGTCTGTCCCTGGAAAATATGGACACTTGGAGGGTCCATAAGACTCCACTGTTGCTTCTTGCACAAGAGGGCCCCTTCAGATGGCAATAGAGCAATAACATAATAATAATAATAATAATAATAATAATAATAATAATAATAATAATAAAATTATTTATATCCCGCCCTCCCCAGCTGAAGCCAGGCTCAGGGCGGCTAACAACGATAAAATAGTGCAACATTCTAAAAACATTCCATTATACAAATTAATTAAAATAAAATTGATGGCAACCATAAGCTTAAGTTCTGTAAAGATGGCCAAAGGAGGGAGTCAGGCTGTGCCCTGGCCAAAGGCCTGGTGGAACAGCTTTGTCTTGCAGGCCCTGCGGAAAGATGTCAAATCCCACAGGGCCCTAGTCTCTTGTGACAGAGCGTTCCACCAGATTGGAGCCGCAGCCGAAAAAGCCCTGGCTCTAGTTGAGGCCAGCCTAACCTCTTTGTGGCCTGCGACCTTCAGGATGTTTTTATTTGAAGACCGTAAGTTCCTCTGTGGGACATACCAGAAGAGGCGGTCCCGTAAATACGAGGGTCCTAGGCCGTATAGGGCTTTAAAGGTTAAAACCAGCACCTTAAACCTGATCCTGTACTCCACCGGGAGCCAGTGCAGCTGGTATAGCACCGGGTGAATGTGATCTCGCAGCGAGGACCCCGTAAGGAGTCACGCCGTGCGCAGCATTCTGCAGCCCCACGTAGAGAGTTACAATAATCCAGTCTGGAGGTGACCGTCATGTGGATCACAGTGGCTAGGTCAGGGCGAGAGAGGTAAGGAGCCAACTTCTTAGCTTGGCGGAGATGAAAAAATGCCGCCTTTGTTATAGCTGTAATCTGTGCCTCCATAGAGAGGGAGGTATCGAATATTACACCCAAACTCATAATGGACGGTGCTGGCACTAATTGCACCCCCGCAAGAGATGGGAGTTGCCCCCTCAATCCCATATCGTCCCGTCCCAGCCACAGGACCTCTGTCTTCGAAGGATTTAACTTCAGCCGGCTCCCACGTAACCATCCAGCCACAGCTTCCAGACATCTGATTGGTGTTAGAGCCACGCTAAAGCCCCAATGGTGGGAGAATCTCCGACCATCTGTGCAACTTAAGAGAACACCAGAAAACGAAGCCTTTGTGATTTGAGCAGAGAGAAAATGGAGAAAAGAATGCAAACTGCCTGCTCCACTGGGCGAGAGAAGCAGCTCCCAGTTGCTTAGCATGTTAAGAAATTAAATTTGGAGTGTGACTTGGAGGATAAAGCTCCCCACTTATTCTTATTCTTGCAATGAATTAGCCCTTTACCGCCCGGTTACAACCATTAAAGACTAATTAAAAGCAATTTAAAACAACTGTCACCAAAATAAGGTGGGTCCCATGGACTGCAAGAAGATCAAACCTCTCCATTCTGAAGGAAATCAGCCCTGAGTGCTCACTGGAAGGACAGATCCTGAAGCTGAGGCTCCAGTACTTTGGCCACCTCATAAGAAGAGAAGACTCCCTGGAAAAGACCCTGATGCTGGGAAAGATGGAGGGCACAAGGGGAAGGGGACAACAGAGGACGAGATGGTTGGACAGTGTTCTCGAAGCTACTAACATGAGTTTGACCAAACTGCGGGAGGCAGTGGAAGACAGGAGTGCCTGGCGTGCTCTGGTCCATGGGGTCACGAAGAGTTGGAGACGACTAAACAGCAACAACAATATGTGCAAGCAGGTAAATGCATAACTTTTCAACCGGCCCTCCTTGACAGCAGAGAGGGGGGAGACAACTATATGCCTAGAAACTTGGGCTTGGGGAGAGCTGGGTTCAAGTCCCTTTCTAGCTTTAGGGATTCAGAGTCCCCTGGACCAGTTGCTGTTCCTGATACCAGTCAACCTCACAGAGCTGTTTTGGGGAGAAAAAGTGGGGTGAGGGGGGAATAAGCCATTTCACTAGCACTGAGAACCCATGTTGCTAGCACCTGCTCACAACACCTTGCCACAATTTAAGCTGTGTTTCCAACAGTCATAGCAGTTTGTATCTCTTCTCCACCCATCACTACGGTTTGAAATCTTGCTGGTTGCAGCAATGCTTGATTTAGTGTGAATGTGCTTCTCAAACCACTTTCTTTGAACATAAGCATGTGTTTGTGGTGAAATAAGAATGCAGTTTCACAGATCAATGAAAAACAAGCTAAAATAGGTGACATAAAAGGAAAGGGGAATGGGGAGGGAGGAGGAAAGGAACAAGCTCAGGTACAGTTCTTCAAGTTGTAATGACCAGTTGGGGTAGAAACAGTGATGGAGTGGCTGTTACTAGGGGACAGTTGCGGAAGAGCCCAAGGCAGCTTTGAGCCGTAGCAATGGAATAACCCTTATTGGGTTCTCTCTCTCTGCTCTGCAACCTCATGCAATATTGGCATTTGCTCAGTTCTATGTATGCCTATTTCCAGCATGGCCTACTTTAAAAAGGGTCCAGTCTAAGCATCCATTACATCCATTGTGTCAATTTAAGTCACACTGTGTTGTGTGCCTTCAAACAGCATTCTTGAACATGCTTATTGCTCCCATTGTTTTTCTGCATTCTGACTGCCAATACAAGCGAAATGTGTTAGGCACACAGCCAATATTTGTCCATTCTAGGCAAAATGGCCACTCCAGTCAGCTTCTCCCTGGGGTTCCCAACGTGGCCTTTGGCCCCTCGCATTTGTAATGAGGGCTGCTTTTTTGACCAAGGATGGTGTGGAAGGGGCTGCGTGGTGTTGCCTGTCAGCAGTGGGGGTGGGCAATGGGCCAGATCCCCAACTCAGGGTGCCTGGGGCAAGGGGTGCGTGCCACTGCCAAGGAGCAGGGGTAGGTGCTGGAGGTGACCGAGGGTGAGTGGAGGGGGTAAGGGCTTATCTGCTCCCCCCACCAAAAATATTTTTATTCAAGTTGGTGCCCATGCTTGTAAAGATTGGTTGCTGGAGGCTGCAAGGGGGGGGGCAAGGCTGCCTTTGCTCTCTGGTCCTCCTTGCAGGTTTTCCACAGGCGTCTGGGTGGCCCCTCTTGGGCGCTGGACCAAATGGGACACTTTTGTGTCCTTCCTTCCACGGGGTGAGTGGAGGCTCCCAGGAAACGTACGATGACACACAAACGAGGCCAACATCATGTAGGGGATGGAGGAAGGGGAGGCAGCCCTTAGGCAGATGGGGGGGTGTCTTTATTCCATCATGTGCCACCACCCCGTGGAAAACGCAGGGAAAGGAGAGCAGGCTGCACTGGTCAGTAGTCAGTGGCCCTGATAGTGGAGCCAGAGTGAGTCCTGCCTGATCTTTGAGAGGGGTCAATTCCACAGGCATGTGTTGTTCCAGCTGTTAGTATCCAAGGAGAGAAATCAGATGCACCTGGTGGCGAAATGACGCTCCTTGGGGGAGCACTGTGTATTTGGAGTGGGGCTCAGGAACACAGGGAAGGTGCCCTGCGTAATGTATGGGGCAGCACAGCTCATGGGGCCCCTTTCGGAAGCTGCCAGACTGCAGCTCCCACCCTCTCTGACCCCTGGCCATGCTGGATGGGTCAGAGGGGAGCTGGAGTCCAGCATTATCCAGAGGACATCCCATTTGATGCCCCCGATAGACAGAATCCAGCCTGTAAATAAGGAACGTTAATGCATCCACTCAAAACACATTTAACTGAGCAGAAGCCCCACTCAATGCAATTCTGCCTGATGTGGGTGAAGGGGTTTATTTTTGAGTCCTCTATTAATCCAACGATGCATGCATTTTCACAGCTGCATAAGATATTGTGGGGAGAGGAAGGTTTCCTAGAATTACGGAGTTGTGAGGGACCCTGAGGGTCATCTAGTCCCACCCCCTGCAGTGCAGGAAACATTTGCCCAACGTGGGGCTCAGACCCACAACCCTGAGATTAAGAGTCTCATCCTCTGCCAAATCAGACACCTCAAATAGAAAACAAGAGTGAAGGTGATAAAATTTATTAGGACTCCTAATAAAAGTGTGACTGTCTCTTTAAGAAGTAAGCTGCAGAGGGAATTCTGGGAAAAGGAAGGAAAATGCAAAGCAAGAGCAACCCATTTTTCTTTGGTTATTTCTGCTGATTTTGACTGGAATGAATCCTCTCAAAGGGCCCTTGGGAAACTGCCCAACCTGCTCTTGGCGGGTAAATGGTTTTTATGTCAGTCACTCTGGTCTGGAGAGAAACTTCTGCTGGGCCTGAGAGGCAGATTTAGTCTCCTCAGGAGATACTGAGCTGGATTTCAAAGTCATTCATATAAAAGAAAGGCAGGAGGGTCTCTCCAGAGAATGAGGCTCCTGAGAACGTGTAGAGTTCGGCTCCTGAGTCAGCGTCAGAAAAAGACACACGTCCCCCTTCATAGTCCAGAGTCACCCGGATCCCCCTGGGCTTCTCCCTCAGGGACAGAAGAGAGGGATCAGGGGGGGTGCAGGCCCAGTACTCCCCTCCCAGATCCCCCACAGCCCAGATCCCTCCCTCAGGACTTAAGGAGAAGCTGCCCTTTCTCTCCACAGACTTCCTGGCAACCCCCAGAGCCCACCATTCCCCACTTCTCGCAGTGACTTCCCAGAAATGTCTGCCTGCTGTGAATCCCTCACGTCCCAACACACAAGGCCATTGAATGAATCTCTCAGGATTATCAGGCAGGGCATGACGTTTGTCTCCCCTACTCAGGCTTTTCCCATCCTTGGACAGGATGAGTTCAGGATGGGCTGTGTCTGGATCCAGAGTGACATTTGCTGTTGGGGAGAAGATGAGGGAAAGAGAAGAGAGGCAGAATCAGCCGAGAGACAGAAACAGACATCTTCATTTTTTAAAAACCGAATTCCCTTTCAGATCAAGGGGATTTCTTTGCATCGCATGCTAGATTGAGAGGCCTCCTTGCAGACTCTCATCAAAATAAATATCTTCCTTGATGGTTTTTAAATCAGTTATCTTTACTTTCTTATATTCAATGTATATTGTGCCTGCCCTCCTCTCAACCCAGGCATTTTCTAAGAGGAAAAACCACCCAGGAAACCTCTTACTCATCTCTTCTGTGTTATCTAAGGGGAAAGAGAGGAGAATTGAAGGAGGCAGGAGAGGAGAGAAGATGCTTTCCTCTGACAATCTCTGTGGGAATTGCCCTTTGGGGACCTCTGGGTTGGGCTGGGAGATGAGGACCCCCCTGTAATAATAATAAATAAATAATAATAATAATAATAATAATAATAATAATAATAATTTATATTTGTATACTGCCCTTTGTCCATAGGTCTCAGGGTGGTTCACAGCATAAAAATACGTCATAAAACCACATATAGGCCTCCCCTCACTTTCGCGGGGGTCATGTTCTGGGCCTCGTGCCTACAAGTGAAAATTGTGTTAAATGGGGAGCCTGTTTATTCCTGCTCTCCATCGCTCTCACCCACTTGGCCTGTCTTTGCCTGACGTTCCATGGAGGGAAGAGGGAATAACTCAAAAAGTTACCAGTTAGGAGCTTAGACAGTCATGACAGGCAAGTGTGGGGTTGCCATACATATGGACTTTCCTTAAGGGCAGGGGGGTGTTAACTCTTGCCCTCCCAGATTCCTCCTCCAAGATCTTGTAGCTGAGCCAGCGTCCTTTTAGTTCAGCCACAAGACAAGGGTTTTATACAGGATGTGGCTAGCTGAAGATGCTGCTCTGTTGCGATTCTCTGCTCTAGGCTAGCTTAGCTGGGTGCCTTAGATCTGAGTCTAATGCACTAGAAATTTTTTCACGGGTTGTTGTTGTTGTTTAGTCGTTTAGTCATGTCCGACTCTTCGTGACCCCATGGACCAGAGCACGCCAGGCACTTCTGTCCTCCACTGCCTCCCGCAGTTTGATCAAACTCATGCTAGTAGCTTCAAGAACACCATCCAACCATCTCATTCTCTGTCGTCCCCTTCTCCTTGTGCCCTCCATCTTTCCCAACATCAGGGTCTTTTCCAGGGAGTCTTCTCTTCTCATGAGGTGGCCAAAGTATTGGAGCCTCAGCTTCACAATCTGTCCTTCCAGTGAGCGCTCAGGGCTGATTTCCTTCAGAATGGAGAGGTTTGATCTTCTTGCAGTCCATGGGACTCTCAAGAGTCTCCTCCAGCACCATAATTCAAAAGCATCAATTCTTCGGCGATCAGCCTTCTTTATGGTCCAGCTCTCACTTCCATACATCACTACTGGGAAAACCATGGCTTTTACTATACGGACCTTTGTTGGCAAGGTGATGTCTCTGCTTTTTAAGATGTTGTCTAGGTTTGCCATCGCCTTTCTCCCAAGGAGCAGGCGTCTTTTAATTTCGTGACTGCTGTCACCATCTGCACTGATCATGGAGCCCAAGAAAGTAAAATCTCTCACTGCCTCCATTTCTTCCCCATCTATTTGCCAGGAGGTGATGGGCCCAGTGGCCATGATCTTCGTTTTTTTGATGTTGAGCTTCAGACCATATTTTGCGCTCTCCTCTTTCACCCTCATTAAAAGGTTCTTTAATTCCTCTTCACTTTCTGCCATCAAGGTTGTGTCATCTGCATATCTGAGGTTGTTGATGTTTCTTCCGGCAATCTTAATTCCGGCTTGGGATTCATCCAGCCCAGCCTTTCGCATGATGAATTCTGCATATAAGTTAAATAAGCAGGGAGACAATATACAGCCTTGCCGTACTCCTTTCCCAATTTGGAACCAATCAGTTGTTCCATATCCAGTTCTAACTGTAGCTTCTTGTCCCACATAGAGATTTCGCAGGAGGCAGATGAGGTGATCAGGCACTCCCATTTCTTTAAGAACTTGCCATAGTTTGCTGTGGTCAACACAGTCAAAGGCTTTTGCATAGTCAATGAAGCAGAAGTAGATGTCTTTCTGGAACTCTCTAGCTTTCTCCATAATCCAGCACATGTTTGCAATTTGGTCTCTGGTTCCTCTGCCTCTTCTAAATCCAGCTTGCACTTCTGGAGTTCTCGGTCCACATACTGCTTGAGCCTTCCTTGTAGAATTTTAAGCATAACCTTGCTAGCATGTGAAATGAGTAAAATTGTGCGGTAGTTGGAGCATTCTTTGGCACTGCCTTTCTTTGGGATTGGGATGTAGACTGATCTTCTCCAATCCTCTGGCCACTGCTGAGTTTTCCAAACTTGCTGGCATATTGAGTGTAGCACCTTAACAGCATCATCTTTTAAAATTTTAAACAGTTCAGCTGGAATACCATCACTTCCACTGGCCTTGTTATTTGCAGTGCTTTCTAAGGCCCATTTGACTTCACTCTCCAGGATGTCTGGCTCAAGGTCAGCAACCACACTACCTGGGGTGTACGAGACATCCATATCTTTCTGGTATAATTCCTCTGTGTATTCTTGCCACCTCTTCTTGATGTCTTCTGCTTCAGTTAGATCTTTACCACTTTTGTCCTTTATTATGGTAATCTTTGTACGAAATGTTCCTTTCATATTCCGATTTTCTTGAACAGATCTCTGGTTCTTCCCATTCTGTTGCTTTCCTCTATTTCTTTGCATTGCTCGTTTAAGAAGGCCTTCTTGTCTCTCCTTGCTATTCTTTGGAAATCTGCATTCAATTTCCTGTATCTTTCACTATCTCCCTCGCATTTTGCTTGCCTTCTCTCCCCCGCTATTTGTAAGGCCTCGTTGGACAGCCACTTTGCTTTCTTGCATTTCTTTTTCATTGGGATGGTTTTAGTTGCTGCCTCCTGTATAATGTTGCGAGCCTCCACCCATAGTTCTGTAAACCAAACGAAGCAACTTGAGACATTTTGCCAAATTTTAAAAATCCGCCCAGGGAAGAAATTTTAATCATGAAAATAGAGGACCTGTCTGAGAAAAAGGTCACATGGAAAAGCAACCCAACTCTCTCTAGGCAGGAATGAAACTCTTCCCTCTTTTATCTGATCCTTCTGGGCAGTTTCTCTCCCTGCCTTCTGCATCTTCCAATCCACCCTCTCTGCCTTTGTGGTACAAACAGCAGGGCCAAGGTCAAGCTGTACAGAAGAGACTCTTGACCCCCATGAAACACTAGTCCCTCCCATCCTGTGAAATTTACCTCTCAGAAGATTTCTGAATGACTGAACATCTGAGGAAGCAAAAAGACAGGCTTAACAGGCTACAATGCAGTAGCTAAAAAATAAATCTTTTTTTACAAAACATCACCATAACATAGCCTCTGTTGTTTCCTTATTTCAAGCAAAAGATGAAATCATGCAAAGAAGACAACTGTAGGACTAAGTAGTGATGTTAATTATTCTCCAAAATATAATTATTGAGAATGTATTATCACTAGGCCTAAGGAATTAAAACAACTAACGAGTTTAGCTGTGATTCCCGCATTGCAGGGGGCTGGACTAGATGATCCTTGGGATCCTTTCAAACTCTGCCATTCCATGATTTCATGGGAAAATCAGAAATGGTAAACCATACTAGAAAATGGTGGAATACAATCATTCAAAATCCACAAATGAAATGGGGATCTGAACTGGATGGATGAAGAAAGGTTTAACATCTGCCTCAAGTAAACTGGTGGGGAAAAGCTGTTGAAACTGGAATTTCCAAGTATGCTGACAAACCAAATTGCACAGGGAAAATCGGCAGAGCTTTGCACTGTACTTCCAAGGGTCTTGTGCAATGGGGAGTCCTCTCTCATGGAATGGGGCTGATCTCATAAGAATTGTGGGAACTCTGAGGAGATGGGGATGGCTGAAGCACGAAAAATGGCTGGTAAGGTTGAAACTCTGAGGAAGAGGCGGCTCTGGCCTTGGCTCTGCTGCTGGGAGACCAGCATGGGCAGGAGGTGGAGGAGGGACTGGGTGCTTGCGGGTGCCCCTTTTAACACACTTATTCCTTATACATGAGAACTCGACAAGATGGACATTGAACTGACTCTGCAGGATTCTCCTTAAGGGCTTTTGTAAGATATTGTAAGGCTCTGAGGCTTTTTCCTACCACAAAGCAGTATATACATTTTATGAAAGAAAGCAAATTTATAAAATTAAAGAAAAAACCAGGATAATTGTCTATAGGCAGGAATGGAACTCAGACTGGTGTGCAGGTTCTTCGCAGGGACAAGCTTTGCCCCCAATCCAAGGCTTCAACCTCCCTCCCAGTTCATTCATGGGACAGACAAAGAACCCAAACACCACTAGAGGACTGTTTCCCAGAGTGACGCCATTGATGGGGGTCCCAAAGTCTGCAGAACAGACTGCTCAACACCCATGAAATATCAGTCCCCATCCCTCCTGTGAAATTGTTCCTCCCCTGGAAATTTACCTTTCTGAATCGGTTTTCTGTATAACACAGCATCTGAGGAAGCAAAAAGATATAAAGTGTAAGGGCAACACTCTTCCACCAGAAATAAATCTCCATACAAAAGTAACACTTCATAACGTGGCATCCTTAAATTCAAGCACAATTATTAAGTATTAATTAAATTGTACAAAAAATAATTAAAAACAAAAAAATCATAGGAAGAATCTATGAAAATAACTAAAGCTTTAAAACTCAGCAATCATAAAGCAAGCTTACAAATAGCAGAATAAAAATATTCAGCATGAATCCTGCTGGTCTCTGAACTTTGTCCCTGAAATTGGGCTCTACACTGGAGGACTGGAGGAGAGGCAGAGCAATAGGAATCCCGCAAAAGGAGGCAGAGGGGAGATGGAGGCAGCCTTAACATCTTCCCCAAGTAAAGTGATGGGGGGAATCATTAAAGCCAAAATTGTGAAACATAAGGAGAAGTGAAGTTTGATGAGGAAGGATTGGCAGAGCTCCCATGAAGAAGGAAACCCTCCCTCACAAACCTTCTACAAATCTTTAAGGTTGTTAATGTTGTGACGTGGGGTTTGTGATTTCAGCTCTCTTGACATAATATGCTGGAGACAGTTCTCTAGTAACACTTCTTTATTAAAGCAAACAAGACTGAAGACTGAGGAGGGGAAAGCTACATTTATAGGGACAGGGAACTAGCTAGAAAGGATACATTTTGGAGGGAACAATATCAGGCAATCACAGTCCTGCCTTTTGGAGGAAACCAATAAGACAGAGGATCCAAATACAGCAGCTTAAATGAACCAATAGTAGCTTTACCCTCTGAAACCAAAAGGCAGTTACTTTACCCTAATGCAAATACAGACAATAATAATACAGATATAAGATCCTTTGACTCAATACCTAACACCCCTCCCCCCCTAGTGAGCACAGCAGACGTAATCTCTCAGGTACTGTGGGGTCCTACAACTTCTACTTGATCTCCTGACAACGGGTGTTGCAGGTTCTGGATTGGGTGTTACCTGTGGTAGAGGGGCTGCTCTAGGGGTTTCGTCAGGAACAGATGGAGTCCCAGACATCTCAGGGTCCCCTACCTGTACCTCGTCATCATGAGGACTAGCAGACCCTGGTTCATTTGCTGAAGCCCCTGGTGACTGCACCTCTGGGCCATTTTCACTCTGGTCTTGCAGCTCTGCGTCGTTAGCCAGGGATGAATTATCTGGCTCCTCCCTGCTGAGCGCCCGGCGCCTCAGCTGATCTATATGTCTCTTCCAAACTTGCCCATTTTCCAAGGTCACATAATAGGACACAGGTCCACTAGCCCGGGTGACCACACCAGCCACCCACCGTGAACCTCGTGAATAGTTCCTCACCCAGACCAGATCTTCAGGGGCGAGATACCTTGTTGTGTCAGTCTCAGCCTGGGGGGTTGCTCTTGAATTACGGTTTGGCATTTTATCCGGGTGGACATAATCCAGCACCGTTACCAGTCTTCTACCCAAAAGCAGCTCAGCTGGCGACTTGCCCGTTGCAGTACACGGCGTCGAATGCTGCAAAAATAACATTTGCGCGATGCGAGCTGACCAGTTACCCTCCATTAAGTGCGCAATGGATTCTTTGGCTGTTCTTACCATGCGCTCAGCCTGCCCATTGGAGGATGGGTGAAAGGGCGCGGATGTGACCCCTCTTATGAAGTTATCAGCCAAGAATGCCCTGAATTCTTGGGATACAAAAGCTGCCCCATTATCTGATACAATGGTCTCAGGTAACCCGTGGGTTGCAAACAGCTGCCTCAACACCTTGATTACGGCAGCTGATGCCATGCTAGGGACCATCGCCACTTCTAACCATTTGGAATATGCACCAACAATAACCAAAAAGACCTTCCCCTGGAATGGCCCAGCAAAATCTAAGTGCAGCCGGCTCCAGGGAGATCTGGACTGCTCCCACCAGTGGACTGGTGCTCTGGCCACTTCTGGCCGCACCTCTTGGCATGCCTTGCATGTTCGTACCCACTGTTCTATGTTCTGGTCCACTCCAGGCCACCACGCATAACATCGGGCTAGCGACTTCATCCTGACCATTCCCGGGTGTCCCATGTGAAGCGTCTCAAGAACTCGTGCTGCCTTGTCGTATAAGGCCTGAATTTGCCTTCATGCGGACCACCTGGCCACCCCCTCCCCACCCAAGTGAGCACACGGGAGAGAACAGCATCTTTCCTCGTTTTCTCAGCTTTATCAGTTGCCGTTACAGGAGCCCCCGGAAGTGTTTCCAGCATCATTATGTGCTCCGCTGGAGCAGGATCCTCATTGCTCCCGCCGGGAAGGGGCAATCGACTCAGCGCATCAGCGTGGCACAACCGTTTCCCCGGCACATGGGTCAAGGTGTACTGGAACCCGTTCAGGAATATAGACCAACGCAACATTCTGGGGGAGAGAATTTGTGGCGTTTGTTTGTTCGGGTTGAACAGCCCTAACAGTGGTTTGTGGTCCGTTTCAATGGAGAAATGGCGACCGTACACATAACCATGGAACTTTTTGATTCCTGCCACAATTGCAAGCGCCTCTTTGTCAATTTGAGCATAGTTGCGCTCCCTGGGCGACAACGTACGGGAATAGAAAGAGATGGGCTTTTCCGACCCATCCAGTTCCTTATGACTCAGCACCGCCCCCAGGCCGTATTGAGAGGCATCACATGCCAGGACCAGCGGCTTTGACTCATCATAATGAGCAAGGACGCTCCTGCTACTCAGCATTCCTTGCAAGGAGTCAAAAGCCTTCTGCTGCCCCTGCCCCCATCGCCACACATTCTTTTTCTGCATGTAATGGTTCAGCTACCGAAGCTTTCTAGGGTAAGAACGAATGATAAAAGTTGATAAGTCCCAGGAATGACTGCAACTCCGTCTTGTTCTGTGGTCGTGGTGCCTCGATGATGGCCTTAATCTTAGCATCTGTGGGGTGGATGCCTGATACAGACAATAATAATACAGATATAAGATCCTTTGACTCAATACACAACAGTTAACAAGCATAATTGTGCCCTTTGGGGCTCATGTGCTCTTGCTTCCTCTCCCAATGGGGGAACTCTCAGGAGATCTTGAAGGCCAAAGACCTAGATATGGCAGCTGCAGGGGGACCTCTGAGGAGGAGACGGCTCAGGCCTTGGCTCCACGGCTGAGAAAGAAGCCTGAGCAGGAGGCAGAGGGGGAACTGGGGGCTTCTTAATGCCCTTTGACTCCATTCAGAGCAGGAGAACCTCCAAAAGGACAACCCCAGACTGTGCAGACAGGGAACCACAAGGAAAAGGAGGTTTCGTATAACTGTAAACAGATGCACATGGGAGGAAAAAATCCTGACTTTGCTCTACACTCTGGTTCAGGCTTTCTTTCCCAGCATCACAATAAACATGGGCCATTCTGGAGAACAGGAAATGAAGGCTGGAGCACCAAGAAGGAAGGTATCCTGGGGTTACTCAATTCCATGCAATAAGAGCCTGGCACGTTCAGTTCTGAAGAAGAAACAGAATTCCTAGGGTGAAATCCTGGCAGCCAGTTTTCAATACCTTTAAATTGTTTAATTGCATCCTCCACAAAATCACAGGATTCCAAGATCCTGTTCCTCAGTTCTGGAGGGAAAGCCAGTGGCTTCTCTGGACTCTCTCTTTTCTCATACCTGGTGAAAAGAAAAACAGTGAATGGCCCCATTGTGGCCCCTTCTCCCTAATTATTGCAGGTGATTTCAATAACATGAACAAAGTGGAAGTTTATTTCCCAACAGGTTTATTTCTACCACAGATGAGACCTCAGTCCAAAACCCCTGAGGACAGCTGTCAGTGGCTTCGTAAGGATGCTAAACAGAACAAGGGACAAGATGTAACCCCAAGCGACACCACCGGAGGGCTCCCATGGCTTCAAACAATGCTGCCCCCTAACAACTTTCTGGGAAGGTGCCAGGAATTAAGAACGTCATCAGTATGCTGATGACACCCAACTCTATCTGTTGATGGATGGCCATCCTCACTCGGCCCCAGACACACTGACCAGATGTCTGGAAGCTGTGGCTGGATGGTTACGTGGGAGCCGGTTGAAGTTAAATCCTTTGAAGACAGAGGTCCTCTGGCTGGGGCGGGACGATATGGGATCGAGGGGGCAACTCCCATCTCTTGCGGGGGTGCAATTAGTGCCAGCACCGTCCGTTAAGAGTTTGGGTGTAATCTTCAATACCTCCCTCTCTATGGAGGCGCAGATTACAGCTATAACAAAGGCGGCATTTTTTCATCTCCGCCAAGCTAAGCAGTTGGCCCCTTATCTCTCTCGCCCTGACCTAGCCACTGTGATCCATGCGACGGTCACCTCCAGACTGGATTATTGTAACTCGCTCTACGTGGGGCTGCCCTTGAGACTGACCCAGAAACTCCAGCGGGTGCAGAATGCCGCGGCGAGACTCCTTATGGGGTCTTCGCTGCAAGATCACATTCATCCGGTACTATACCAGCTGCACTGGCTCCCGGTGGAGTACAGGATCAGGTTTAAGGTGCTGGTTTTAACCTTTAAAGCCCTATACGGCCTAGGACCCTCGTACCTACGGGACCGCCTCTCCTGGTATGCCCCACAGAGAAACCTACGGTCTGCAAATAATAACATCCTCAAGGTCCCAGGCCTCAGAGAGGTTAGGCTGGCCTCAACTAGAGCCAGGGCTTTCTCGGCTGCGGCTCCAATCTGGTGGAACGCTCTGTCACAAGAGACTAGGGCCCTGCAGGACCAGACATCTGTCTGCAAGCCCTGCAAGACAGAGTTGTTCCACCAGGCCTTCGGTCAGGGCCCAGCCTGACTCCCTCCTCTGGCAACCTGCACAGAATTTTGCTTAATTGGTTGCCATCAATTTGATTTTAATTGATTTTATAATGAAATATTTTTAGATTGTGTGACTATTTGACTGTTTGATTATTTGATTGTTGTTAGCCGCCCTGAGCTCGGCTTCGGCTGGGGAGGGCGGGATATAAATAAAATTTATGATTATTAAATTTATGATTATTAACGAGACCCCTGAGGTGGAATGCCTGCACTCCCTCCCTCCCTGAGCTTCTCCAGAGGATGTGAGTGATGTCCAAAACTGCCCAGTGGTCAAGGAGAGCAACCTCCACCCTCCCTTCACCCAGGAAGGGCACAACCCCATGTCCCATTGGACTCTCCCTCCAGAGGCATCAAACAACCTGACTTTCACCCCCCACTCAAGACCAGCTTCAGCCTCTCACGCTGGAAACGCTCCCAAGAAAAAGAAAAAGAACCCACCTATTGTAGACCAACAGACCGTCCCTCCCTCAGTGCCTCAAAGGGGCTGAGTTACCAGAGTTGAGGGGCTTCTAGTTGGACATTGAAATATGTCCTAAGCTCTTCCCAAGCATCTTTGGCACTTTCTCATCTAGATGTTTGAAATTACCAAAAAGTCCATGAGCAGAAAGTGCAAGAGAAAGAAAAGAGCCCCCATCCCTTTGTGAAGTGATGTGGGGAGGGAGGGAGGAGGCAGTTGACCTTGATCCTTGGCGGGAGAATTGGGGGGCTACAAGTTCAGAAGAGGGGGCTCTACTTTTACCTGTGAGGTGTTGCAGGGAGTGAGTCCTCCAGTCTCCCCCCTGCAGCCCCTGGAGGGCCATGTCTGAGGTTCTTGCATCTCAGCTTCAAAGAGTGATGCTAATGGAAATGAGCCAGATCCACTTACCTCTGCAAGGTCCTTCTCACATCCTAGAGGGGAAAAGAGAAGGGAATTCACTGCACACCACAGGCCACACTAGGAAGACCCCCTCAGACCCTGGCCCTCGGATGTCAGTCTGCCTGGCACATGCCAAGGTTTAGGGTAGGAATGGCGGAATCAGCCAGTTTGGGTTTCTCACAGCTTTTATTTTTCCAATCTGAAATTATGAATTGTTTCAATTTCAAGTTCTCCACATTTCCATTTTTAAAAATTTTAATCCAGTTTGCATTGTGCTATTCAGACAAACGTAAGCCTAAAGGATAATCCTGCCACGGCACTGTCCCAGTCCCCAAATTTCAAATTCTATTTTCCACCTGGAAATAAAAAAAAGCACCTGCAGCACAAAATGCCTCCAAAGGGGTAAAAAAACAGCTCAGTGTTTCTTTGGGGTCACCCACACTTCTGCTTTTCCTGTGGCCAGAAAGGTTTGCGCTGCCACTTTCCCTCAGGAAAAACCTGCTCCTTAGTGCAACATCAAAGCAAACGTCAACCCAGAGAAAACCTGGCTGATGTTTACTCTAATTCAGCAGTAAAAAGAGGGTTTTCCTGGGGGAAAGGAGTGGGACAAGCAGCAGTCTGGATGAGTCCCTCTGTCTTGCACTTTGCTCACTGTGACTGAGCACCATTTTGGGCCGATCTGTATCCATGGGGAAGGGGATCAACCCAGAAGTTGTGGAGGGAACGGGAAGAGAAGCTTGGTCAAGAGACTGGCTCATGTCCGAAGGAGGCCTGAACGCATCCTAGACGAAGCCCCCCACAGCTGAAAGGCGTTCGGAGACAAAGCATCAGCAAAAAACAGAAGATCAGCTCCTGTTCCATCAAGAATACAGACGAATCTCTAGTCTGCATTCAGGTGAGTTAAGCATCCCAGGTCTCTTGGGTCTTCCTGTCCATTGCAAACCTGACTAGAGGCTCCATCAACTCAGCCCCTGCACTCCTTGCATACATGAAAGGGGCAGCCTTTTCCTGGAGCCTTGGGCTGTTCCTGCCACCATCTTACCTGCAGAAGTTCACTTGCTGGCTGCTGACTTTTCTCCGCCATCTCCTGGATGATCCTCTCAAGAGAGGAGAGTTTCCTGGAGAGTCTGGCCAGCTGCTCATCCCTTCTCCCTGCAATCTCCTTCTCCACCTCTTCCACGTGAGTCAGCAGACGTTTCTCTTGTGCTTCCAGGAACTGGCGCAGTTCTCTGAACTTCTCCACAGTCTTCAGCCTCTCCGTTTCTGTTAATTTCTGCAAGAAAAGAGGAGGTCTGAGTGTGGAAGGTGATCAGCCTTCAAAACATGAGGAAGAGAATTGTGAGAATTCCACAGGGAGGACACTTCTGATTTTTCATAGACATGAAACCAACCACCAGTTACTAAAGAAGTAAACCTTTATTTTGAGGGGAGGCCCTCTCCATTGCTGTTTCTGTTGATTTCTATTTTGCAGAGGGCTACAGCCTAAAGGAAGGAGCATTTTTCCCCTAGCCATGGTTATGTGGGATGTAAAAATGTACATCTAGAAAGACAACTCTTTAGTAATATTGATGGTAAATCAGGATTTGAATTGAACCACTTCCACCCTCTCAGCTCACAAGTCCTCAGGCTTCTCCTTCACTGCTATTCATATAATAAACAACAATGGAAAATAAACTCAAATTAGCTGCATTCAAAAGTGAATTTACCTAATTTGCTATTGCTGAAAAAGTATGGAGACCAAAACAGAGCAATCCTTTGAAATTCACACCTGTTAATTATTCAAGGTTGACCCAGCCAGGTAATGTTCACAAAAAATGGATTTATGAGGGTAAAGTACATATAAAAATATTTATACAAGGAACATCTGATTCATTTTCAGAATAATAAATGAATAAACAGACTGATATGGAAAAAGGAGAAATGGGGAAAAGCTGAAATGGGCAGATTTCCCCATCCCTCCTCAGTCCTGACTCAATTCTTCAAGTGCTTGTTCCCTCACTAGTAACAACAGAGACACTTACAAGGAGGTCTTTGCTTTCCTTGTCCAGGGCTGCTTGATAGGCCAGAATTTCCTCTCTCTCTTTCCTCAAAATCTCCAGGTGGTGAAGGATCTCTCCCTGAAAAGAAAAAGGAAAAAGTCAGGTTTGAAAGAGACACACAGAGAGATGAATATTACACTGGCTTCTTGGGCCCGGTGGCCTTGCTATAATAGCAAAGTAGTTTACTGGAGGAAATAAGAGTCTAGAGGTTTTCAACCTTTTTGGGTGCATGACTCCCTGGACCAACTTCCTTCTTTCTGTGGTGTCCCTGTGGGGCTCAGGATCCCAGTTGGGTCCCCCCCTTGCTCACCCTTTCTCGAACACCCTCCCTTGTGGAGGGCTCTCTCAGCCTCCTCTCCCCTCTCCTTAGGAGTCCTCCTCTGGGTCTCTGAGCCCCAAAAGAGAGATGCCTTCTCACGCCGCCCCACAGGGGCCTGGGACTTGTCTGTCCCTTCCCAAGAGCAAGGGCCCCTCGCCAGTTTGCTTGCTTCCTCCGAGGCCGCCTCAGCTCCTGGCAGCCCACACCCCCTGGCCAGCCCCAGAGGCACCATTCGCCAGCGGAGCTTGTAGCCAGGGCTGCTGGAGCAAACAGCTGGAGGGACAGAGGTCAGTGCTGCCTCCCTGAGCATCATTCAAGGCCCCCCAGGTGCCACAGCACACTGGCTGAAAAGCACAGCAGAACTGGGATGGGAAAGTTTTCTAGCGCAACAAACTAGTCTGGAGAAGAGCAAAGGCAGCCCAAGAGGCTAGAGAGACAGGGACAGAGCAGCGCTTCTCAAAACTTCACCCATTCCAAACCCCTCTTCTGCAAGCCTAGGGCTTTTCCACCCTTTCTCTTGGCCCCACTGCTCTGCCACTTAACTGGGTCAGATGGCAACTGTGGTTTTCTGCTACTGGTCAGTTCTTTTCTCTGCAGTAGCCAGAGCCCACGTGTGCTTGGACCACCAGGGGAGATTTAAGAGCTTCCATTTCTGGGCCAAAGAAGTTCTTCCTGGGCCAGAATCCACCTAAGTAGCTCCTTCGGTCAGAAGATTGCAGTCTGGTCATCCCACCACTTCAAAGGGGCAGCTTCATTTCATTATCATTACTATTTTGTGGCATTTTTAGCATTGCATGGCACAGGAGCATTTTTGCACCACTGTAGTAGAAGTGAATTATTTTAAAATGGATTAAAAGGCATTTTATAAAGTTTCTTCTGAAGCAGAATGAGAATCTTATCTTTTTTTATATAATAGCACAGGTCCAATTCTGAGTTGTCATGGCAAAGTCACCTTCCCCCCTTGTCTTTGCAGATGCTACTCTGGAATCACTGAGTCCTTTGCCATTTGGGATGGGAGGAGATCCTCAGCAGACACCCCTCCCCCACTGAAAGCTCACTGCACAGGCCCCACAGCACCCCCAGAATAAGCCTGCTCCTCACCAGTAGGTGCTTCCACTCCGCCCCCACTCTTAAATCTGCGTCCAACAGATACTTGCGGGGCAGGGATCCTGCACTATGTGGTCAATTCCTGGCCACCAGTCCCGTCCCCCCCAGCTGATCCCTTGCTGCTCTCTGCTTTGCAGGGCATTTAGGACGCATCCTGCTAGCCAAAAGAGACTTGTAGTTAGTTGTGTACATGCAATTTACACTTGTAGTGTTCTTCATATGTACAAAGCAACCTGCTGGGGGATGTGAACGAGGTTAACCCTTTCTCTCCCTCCCACGGTCCCAGTTCAAATAGTTGAAGCTGCTGTGAGTATTTCAAGGGAAGATCCCTTTGTCCCCCTGGCAGAGAGAAAGACTTCAACTTCCTCCTCCCAGACCTCAGGCTTGCCCTTGGCTGCTTTTAATGTAAGAAACAACCAATTCATGCCATGCCTACTTCGGACCTGAATCCACAGCTACTTCTCCCCCTCAAGATCCAGGGATCTCCTACCTTGTATTCCTCCAAAGCCTCTTCCAGAGGAATCACCTTGTGATTTTCATGTTCCTTTGATTTGTCACACACCAGGCAGATGGGGGCTTCATGGACTTTGCAGAAGAGCTTCAGGGGCTCCTGGTGTTTCTCACAGACTCCTCCTTTCCCTCCTTCCTCCTTTCCCTCTTGAAGGCTGAGATTCTCGATTAATTCTACGAAGTTTGCCAGTTGCCGGTTGGGGATGAGGCTCCTTCTCTGGACTGTTTTTCTGCATTGAGGGCAGGAAGCCTCTGCCTCCGATTCCCCCCAGCACTGGATCAAGCAGGATCGGCAGAAGTTGTGCCCACACTCTGCGATGATCACTGGATCCTTAAAATATTCCAGGCAGATGGAGCAAGTGGCTTCATCGCAAAGATTCTGGACCGGACGCCCAGAAGCAGCCATGGCTCCCTCAAGAAAAAGACCCGAGTTAAGTTTCACTTTCTCAGCGTTTAGTCAGTGGGTGTTTCCTTTCCTGGAAATGACTCAGTAACCACGTGATTTGTTTATTTATTTTTTAAAAAATAAAGCATGTTCCCAGATCTTGGCAGCTGCTGAATGTTTTATTCTTCATTGCTTCCCATGCTTTTGATCACACACACAAACACACAGGTACCTAGCAACTTGTGGTATTCATACTGTAACATTTTCATTCAAAGGCTTCCTTGCCCTTTTTGAATTGGAGAACATCTGCTGCTGCCCTAAATGGACGCGAGTTCTGATTGACAAGCGGGACTTGATTCCCTCAAGACAACGCCTTTAATTGCACATTTATTCAAAATCCAATTGCAAATATCCTAGTTTAATGAGTGCAACGGAATTGATGAACTTGTTCCAGTGAGGCTAGCTTTCCCAAGTCTGCTGGCCATTTCCACCCCCCGCCCCTCCCCTTTCCCAGGGGGCAGTACCGCCCACTCTGGCAAGCAGAGCTTGAAACACGAGCATGAGCCCCTGAAATTAACCCCAGAAACAACCTGCCAGCCAAGGCAGCTCTTTTAGGGCTTCTAGGAGTACCAGCCCATTACGGAACGGAGGGGGGCACATAAGCCGCACACCACAGCCGTCCCCCGCCCCTCTCAGCTCACGGACACACGCACACGGGGGCATGAGACCATCAGCTCGCCGGCAGGGGGTGGTCCCCTGTTCCTCTTCAATGTCACATAGAGCAGCACAGAAACCTCAACAATCAGCAGCTACCCTTGCTGCCTCTTTCTTTAATCCCAACAAGCCTAGGTGGGTGGACCAGACAATGGAACTCGATATTTGCATACCGCTGCGCCTGAGCCAATCAGCACGGGGTACATGGCACACCCACACTAGCACTGCCAAGCTACGCTGCCAGCCTCCTTGCTTGGCCGCTATTCCCCTCCCAAAACAGCTCAGCTCCTCCTTTAGCGGCTGAGGCTGCTTCAAACCCCACCGCCCCCAAGCTCACAGCAAGCCACGCAGCCGGGACAAACCTTGCCATCTTCGCAAGTCCGGAAACAACCATTACATTCGAACCACAAACGCCAAGCCCCTTGCCCATAAACTGGGAACCGAAAGGAAAAGACGCACAACTGTGGACAAGCCTACGAAATCAAGGCTTGCATGGCTTTCATTCCTTGGAACTTCATTTCTCCTCTTTCCAAAGAGACTTCCTTTCCCCTCGGGCCCCGACACGATTCCGCACGCAGCCAAATGGGGACTCACAGGCGGTTAAGTTGTGGGTCAACATATCAGACGACACGTAACACCAGAACTTCAGTACATAACACCGACAACAGAACGACGCTCCCAAGTCACCCCTGTTCCTTGCTTCCTCCTTAGGGACTGCAAATGGACAGAGATGGGCAGACTCACGTTAAGTGGACACCTCACTTAGTGGCAGGCCCGGCGGGTTTCCTTCAGCAGGGCGAATGTAACGACCAGCTAAGGATCAGAGCGCACCTGAGCACGTGCAGAGCGCATATGCCCCATCACTGAGCAACTTCTCAGCCCCGTTGAATTTGTCTCAACCATTTCTGCACCGCTGGATTGCCATTGTCTCTAAGCAGTGCACAAAGTATTCCATACAATGAGAAAGAGTGGAAATTATAAAATAATGTCCTGTGAGGTGGGCTAGACAGAGCCCGTGACTGGCTCAAGGTCACCAGTGAGCTTCACGCCCGAGTGGGGATTTGAACCCTGGCCTCCCGGGTCCTGGTCCCACACTCTAACTCTAACCACTACACCACACTGCCTCTCAGTAGCTGCTTAGGGATGGGACTGGGGGCTGTGATTTTACCAGGCTTGGCATTGCGAAATCGGGAGTGGGAGTGTGTGGGGGGTCTTGGGCATCCATCTTTAAATGGCGTTTTCCGGAACAGCAGAACCTGAGTGGGGGATGTTTGGCTGTTTCAGGGCCCAGCGAGCGCCAAGGAGAAGGAGGGGCCTTTTGGCAAGGAGGAGGCATCCCTATCACAGCCAGGCCAGAGGACGATGCTCTGGCAAGTCAAAGAGGAGAACTGCGGCATTGTGGGCTCTCTGGCTAAGGAATGGCGTTTCAGAGGAGATAATCTATGGTCCTCCAGGTGGGGCTGAGCCACATTTCCCATCAGCCCCAGTAAGTGTGGCTGATGGCCTAGGATGATGGGATTTGTAGTTCAGCAACATCTGAGGGTCGAAGGTTCCCCACAGCTGGCCTAGGGCTTCAGTCCTAATTATGTTTACTCAGAAGTAAATCCCGGGCGTGCTTACTCCCAGGTAAGTGGGGTGAGGATTGCAGCAAACCCCACAAACAGTTCCGGCTGCAATCCTAAGCGTGTTTCCAAGGGGTCAGCCCCACTGGGAAACTGCAGCACTTTCTTTTCATACTCAATTCTACCAGGGCCCATTGGATACGTTTCAAGCATGTGCCAAACAGTGGAATCTCCTGTTTCCTCAGAGGCAAGTCTTGTGTGTTCAGTGAGTCTTACCCCCCCAATAAACATGGTTTGGGAGTGCAGCTTAGGTTCCTTCTGTAGCAGGAGACCCCCCCCCCCTTTTCATTCACACCCACACGTAACACACAAACACCACACTCACACCCGCACGCACCCCCCCTTGACCCAAGAGATGTCCCTTTAGAGGGCCATCCCTCAAAATAAGGCCTTCCGTAAATAAGGAAGCGCTAGCCTGACAGCCTTTCGCTATAACACTCCGCATCGCCCTATCTGTATTACTGGTAGGCCGGTCGCCTGAACTCTGGGTCAATCGGCGACCGCCTCAGCCAATCAGTGTTATCGAACAGCGCCCCTTGCGGCGGCCACGCAGGTACTGCAGGCTACTGGCGCTCTCTTCCCTTGCTTTTGACAGCTCTCAATACAAAGTTTCCGAGTTCAATTGACCGTGACTGATTTAATCAAAATGTTGCAAGCTGCTTCCTGAAGGCGAAAGTGCTTTGAACTTCAAGGACAGTATTCTTTATAAATTCACCAAAAATCAGCCATACCTCGGATTCTCACCGGACCACTTTTATTCTGCTGCATATTACAAGGACTATCAAAGGGGGGTGGCCTGATACCAGGCGGCCATAATCCCTTAACCGAACAGTCACATACTCTGCGGCCCTTCCAAGTTGACTTGACACCCTTGATAGCCATCGTGATGGGCTCAGACAGAAGGCTATCAGGGATACAATGAACTGCATATTTTAGTGTATTCCGCGTGGACTCTCACAAAGGACTGTGGCCGGATTCCCCTCAGGGGGCAGGAAACTTCGCCCTTTTCCTTTGTTCTTAAACGTGACTCATGTGGGGAGGGGAGAGGAGGCTCCGGCCAGGTGTCAGGACACTCGGATTACCTGTGCAGCCCCTCCTCGACTCCTCCTATTTTTAATATAATCATGATGTAAATATGATGTAATTCTGAGGGTGTAGCTTAGGGATTAGCAACTAATAAAAGTTAGGGTCTCCCTTTGTTCGGGGCTTCCATTTTGCTTCACTTTGTGGGCGGTGGGAGTCCTGTCGGACAGTCTTTTCTTCAATAAAGACCAGGCCTACAGGCTGCTGATTTGCTTCCAATTTGCTCTGGTTGGTGTCTTTGTTTTGTCCAAGGGAACCCTCGCATTTTTCCGGTAACACTTCCATTTGAAATTAGTGGGATATAAAAGATGCTTAATTTTGGCTAGGTTTTGTCCCATAAACAATAAAATCTATGTGTACTAAACTATTTAAATACACTCTGCTGGCATACTGTGTATGAAAACAATCTGTTTATTTTTCTTTTTAATTCTTATATAAGGAGATAAAAATGCAACAACTTAGTCCATAAGTCTATACCCATTGAAAACCACAATCCAAAATAAATATCACTACTTCATAAGCCCCGTTCTGCATGTCAACCAACTAAGAAATAAATACGTTATAGCACAGCAGTATATAACTGTTTAATTTTCTGTTGTTCTTTTCATATTTATCTCTTGCTTTTTTCTTTTTTTTAAGAAGGGGGATGAAAATGTCAAAAAGGAATGTGTCCAGTGTCCAGAATAGACTAAATTCCAGGAATATTATTTGGATCTAGATTCTGCAAATAATAATCATTCTCTCTCTCTCTTCCCAACCCCAGAGGGGCTTCTGATTCCCAAACTGGACCTTTCCTTCCAATCGGAAAAAGGAGAAAAGATGTTCTTGCAGGAACCAGAGCCAGGTAAAGGAGGCTGGTGAAATCTGCTGGGTGATGCTTGCAGTTTGAGAAGAGCTCTGGGTGCTGCTGACACCTGACATTCTTCGGCAGCTGCCGGGGGCCACTGTGCTATGGCAAGGGCCACAGCCGATACCTCCCCCTGACTGCTCCCCCCCCTGGCTAAAAAATACCTTTAAAGATTCAGGACTGACATGAGAAAGGACTTCTTCACAGGCTGCATCGTTAAAGAGTGGGATCTGCTGCCACAAAAGATAACTGTAGCCACGCATTTGGCTGGCCTTAGGACAAGTTCATGGAGGATGACCCTGTTTCTCACCTGTGCTCTTGAGTGGGGGGGGGGGGAGATGCCTCTGAATGCCCATTGCTGAGAATCACAAGTGGGGAGGGTGTTGCCGGCCCCCGGAAGAAGAAGATGTTGGACTGTAGGCCTTTGGCATGTTCCAGCAGAACTCTTTTTCCATACTTATAACCCAAAGTTAGAGAGACTCCCTTCAGGAATCTGTGGCGGGAGTAGACCGTGATAATCAGGATCCCCTGATAACTGTCATTGTTCAGTGTGGATCACCTAAGTTTCCTGACAATGCAGAAGTCCCCCCCCCCATGTTTGCTCACTTGGCCGAGTCAGGGGGTTGTGAAGAGGTGAGATTCATTGGGAGTCTGAGGTGTTTGGGGCTCACAGGACAGTCATCCCTAGTATTGCCTCTCTCTGCAATAAAAGAAGAAAAGTTTGGGGCATGTTAAATCCATGTCTGATTAAAAGAGCAGTGACTGTCGCTGTGGAGTCTGAGTAAGGAGAGCTCTAGTGATCAGTCACATGTCGCTTACCAATGAAGAAGCCATGAAGGATTTGAAGTCTGCTTGCCAGTAATGTCTTATACATCTTTACTAGTTTAGTAGGGGTCAGATACCACTGGTACATCATTTTCATATAATTTTCTTTAAATGTGCAACATTCCAGAAATTTTAAATAACCTTTCCCAATCTGCCACCTGAATATTATGTCCCAAATCCTTTGCCCACTGTATCATTCCCAACTTAACCTGTTAATTTTTTGTATGCCACTCTAAAAGCAAGCTATACATTTTGGATAATAATTTAACATTATTTTATCACAAATCTTTTTGAAATCTTGATATTTCACAACTAAAACCTTTATTTTTAACTATATTAAATATATCATTCATAAACAGGACTGTTCTTAAACCGAGGTACCACTGTATTCACTTTTTTCTAAGATATTG